GTGTGTGTGACAGTGTGTGTGACAGTGTGTGTGTGACAGTGTGTGTGTGACTGTGTGTGACAGTGTGTGTGTGACAGTGTATGTGGGACAGTGTGTGACAGTGTATGTGGGACAGTGTGTGACAGTGTGTGTGACAGTGTGTGTGACAGTGTGTGTGTGACAGTGTGTGTGTGACTGTGTGTGTGTGACAGTGTGTGTGACAGTGTGTGTGTGACAGTGTGTGTGGCACCATGCACGTGGGACAGTGAGTACATGAGGGTTGGTTCTTCCTTTCCAGCCCCCCAAAGCACCGCGGTGGCACCGGCCAGTTCCCACAGCTGCTTCTCCACAGATGGGATTCATGGAGGAGTCCCGTGGCTCCACAGGCCCTGCAGATCCTGGCCCCCTCTTGGTTCCACAGCATTGCAAACAAGAGCTGGGACAAACGAAGGGAAAGAGCGCAGCAGGAATCCGGGGTCTGCGGAGAGCGGCAGCAGCAGAGCGGGCATGGGGCTGGGCAGGGGCTGCAGGGGCCCAGGGTGGCCAGGCAGGTGGGAGCTCCGAGGGCATCAGGCACTTCTGGAGGTGGGTTCGGCTTTGTCAGGGAGCAGCAGCTGGCAAGGATGGGAACGTTGACTGCCGAGCACCGGGGGGCCTGCGGGGCTGACTGAGACCCAGACAGGCTGTAGCACAAACATCCTAGGTGGAAAACAGGAGCCAGCTGCCATTGGGGGGTTTCCAAGGTCATCTTCCTCGGCAGCCTTTGGCTGCAGCCCATCCGCTCCGTCGCCCGTGTCCCGGCGGCGCAGGCGGGTCCCGGGGCCGGGCTGGCCAGACACATCCCACGGCGGCCCCAGGGCCTGGGAACTCCTCGGCCGCAAATTCACCTCATCCCCCAGCTCTGCTCTGCTTCTCTGCTGCAATGTTTGAACTCATCTGCTTCCCAGCACCATAATGCAAAGAAAACATCCCAAAGGAGGCCGGTAACATCACCCACAGCCAAACACGGAGCTGCAACCTGCTTCATGTCATGTTCTGCGTACAGAAAACACCCCAAACCCACCAACTACTGGCACTTCTCCCACTCTTCTGTGGCCCTGGGCCGCTGGAGTCACGGCGACAAACACAGAGACAAGAGCAGGTGGGGTCCTGCTGCTCCGTGCCAGTCCCTGTCCATCACCACAAGCAGCCAGAGCTGGGCAGAGGCTGAGGCCGGGGGTTCAGTTCAGAGGTACCTCAGGAAAACAGAAATCTCAGGAATCCCAGCAGGTCTGTCACTGCCTGTCCCCTTGGCCACCACTGTGGAGGGATTCCCCAAGGCACTGCAGGACAGTAGTGCAGAAATAACAGGCAGGAGATGGCTGGAATGGGGGAGGCAGCTCGGGGGTCCCTATGGAAGATCACTGTGCATGGAAGTAGATAGGCTTGACTTTTCCAGACAGGATCTTGGGAACCTGCACAGAGATGATCTCAGCCATCATTTCCGGGTAGTCCACGCTCACCATGTGTGCCTTGATTAACAGGTCAAATGTAAACTGGTGCAGGTCCTTGGCAATCTGGGGAAGGAAGAGAGGGGGTTAAATGAGTCCCTGTGTAGCGTTTTCACCAGAAAGATATAGAGCAGAGGTTCTACCTTGCCTGGGAAAGGGAGCCTGGATGAGACTATCCAGCACCCTGTCCAACTGCATCTGAACTCTCCCCGTGATAGGGCTGCCTGACCCTGGGGAGGTTGTTCCAGGGAATGATCATTCTCACTGTAAATTTTCTTTCTTATATTGTTTCTTACGTGTATAGATGGACATTTCCCTGTCCTCTCTCACCGGGTGCACGGAGTCCAGGACCTTGGTGAGCTGGTAAAACCGCCGGGAGCAGGAGGTGGGGTTCTTCCTCTTGCAGGCGATGATACGGTCAAGTTCCTTAATGTAATTCATGCGGAGCTCATCGAAGAGCTTCTGGTTCTTCAGGCCATCCACTGGAACTGGGTGGGATGGGAAGGAAACAGTGAGAGGAGCCCAGAGAGCGGGGAACAGGAGAGCAGGAGGAAGGTTGAAGCAGGGAACTTCCCAGCTCCCCCTGGGAGGTGAGAGTCCAGGCACAGGGAAAGCACCAGACACCTCAAGGGTGATGCAGTGGCAGGTACTGGAGTTCTGAGGAGGAAAGGGTGTGGGTACTTACTAACACTGAAGAAAAGGAGAGCCTTCATACAGAGGAACTCCTGGGGTGTGATCTGAAGCCACCCGAACTCCTGGGAGAGGTGCCTCATCCTGACACACTGGCTGTACATCCTGGATTTGTGCATGCGGTACCTGGTAGGGCAAGATGGGCAGGGATGGCACCGAGACCAAAGTGCAGCTGTGTGAGGGGGGGGACACGCTCCTCGACCCAGCAACCCCCTCGCCTGGCACATCCCCGCTGCCAAGGGCCCAAGCTCTGTCCCAGCAATGCCGCAGGCAGGACAGGAACATTCTCCAAAATGCCTGTGTGCAACCAACCCTCTTTGGAAATAGATGGAACTGGGGACTTGCAGGGTTCATCTGAGGAGCAACTGCAATGATTCCCCAGACATGTCTATCTGTGAGGGATCCAAGACCAAGCTGGAACTCCCAGGGAGGTGTGGGTTTGCCTCGCGCTGTGCTTAGTTATTAGGTTCAGGCTCTTCTACCTAAGTGCCAGCAAATCCTCCCCAGCTCTAAGCTGATGGTACATCAGGAAGAGCCCAGTAGGACCTTATAATACACATTATCTCTGTTTCTGTTCTCTCCAGCTGCCCAACAGAGCTGGAAACTGGAGCTCAAACCCTTTAGCAGAAAGACAGGTCCATACGGAGCAGCTTTTCATCCCACAGCAGCTCCGGCTGCCCTGGTGGGAGTCAGCCCATGACAAGGCTGGGGGAGCGGGGCGAAGGACCAGGAGAGGCATCACAGTGCCCTCCCTACTGCTGGAGGTCACCATGGGTGGCTGGAGTAGGGAACAGGACCTGCCACACTGGGCTGGGCAGGTCGGAGCACGAGATGCTCAGTTTGTCACCTGGTCTGACCCAAAGCCTGGCTTAGGCTGGTGTTGTTTCACACTTACTCATTGAAGACCAGGTCTGGAGCAAAGTAAAGCATTCTGGAATTGACGTTGGTGAAGGATCTCCACCCCATAGCAAACACCATGAGGCCCATCCAAGAGTACTGGATTATTGACATCTGGTCGTCCACATGCAGGTTGCGAAATCCTAATAAACAATGAGGGAGGGATGTTACAAATTAATGTTGTGTTCCTGCAGTTCCCAGGACTGTTTCCACGCAGACTCCACTCTCCTGCAGTGCTCCTCTGGGACAAGGTGGTCAGTTTGCAGCCCAAGCTCAGCACGTCCCGGGACATGCACACGCCAGCGGTGACACAGCTGCAGGGCCGGCAGCCCAGGGCTCTGACTCTGACTGGGAATCAGGGACAGCCAAGCACAGACCTGCCCCTGGAAGGGGAGAAAGGGGACTTTGGACACAAGGAGGGGAGAAAGTCCCATTAGGACTTCACCAAATTTAAGTAGCTGGATTTTAATGTGATGCTCAGAGCCAGCAGGTAACCCTGAGGCCTCACCCCGTGGCCACAGACACTCTGGTTTCTGTCCAATACACACTGCATGGATCTAATGACTGTGGAAATGAGCACGGAAACCTCGGCTGCATTGCAAGAGAGACAAAAATAGCAACTAAATTCAAATTTCCTATGCCCAGATGGCAGTTCAGAGTTAAATCCCTGGCATGTTTACACCACCTCCAACACTGCTTTTTTCCAGACACTTGTAAATAGGCAAATATAATTGAGTTTAAAGACAATCATACATTTTTTGAATCAAATATTAAAGCAATTTAACATCTCCTGTGTATAATTACAATCCATTGAGGCAAGGCTCTCTGTGGCTTGGGGAGCTCTCAAAGCCAAACAGCAGGGGAATGAATCTTGCCCAGATGCTGCCCTGGCACAGTGGGTGCTGGCCCCGGGGGTCAGTGGGGTAGCAGCTGGCACAGCCACACACCAAGGGGTCAGCATCAGGTGCAGTTCAGGAGAGTAAAACCCTTTCTTAATGGGGTGGTTAAGATGGAAAATGTTTTCCAAAGCACTCTTCCTTTCCATCATCACTACTGCAGGGCCTCAGCCCCAGGGTGGCTTTGGTGGTGTCTCTGTGTCTGATCTTGATGGCTGGCATACATAAGCAAAGAGAAAGCACGATTTGTCCCTGGTTTTACAAGCCAAGTGACAAGAATATCAGAAACAGAATGGGCTACTCTGCATTTAAGGGTATTCAGACCAACATCCCCCTGGCATCACCAGTCCAGGGTGCTGCTAAACTCCTGGGAGCATCAGACACCTGACCACAGTTCATCACCAGGGTCTGACACAGAGTGGTAAATTTACTGTGTCTCGGTCTCCTCCTTTGGCTGTGTCACCCTGCACGTGAGGCATTAGGAACCAGCCCCACATCCCAGTCTCAGAGATGCTCAGAGGTGAACTGGATCCTGCTGTGCCCAGAGTGAGCTCAGCCCTCTGCAATCCCACTCACTCGGTTGTGGGATTACAACACAGAACAGGCAGTGTGTCACCACCCAGTGACCCTGCAAAGACCTGGTTCAGTGAACCCATCTGTCATTGGGATGCTCCATTTACTGCACCTGCTGACTGGCATCTAGAAACTTCCCAGCCTGTAGCACCACTCCAAAGGAATCGTAAATATATCCCACCAGGCCATCACACAGGCAACCCAAGTGACTGCCAGGAAAGAGCCCTTTGGGATCCTGCATTGCTCTTCTGCCATATTCCAATTAATTAGCGGGTGGAATTTACCCTTTTCACCACTTCAGGTGGGTCATGGGACAGGGCTAATACTTGTTTAGAGGGGAATTCTGCAGGGCTGGAGGACACGGCCTGGAGCTGGGAGAGGGGGAGGACAGCGGGACTCTGAGCAGCAGCAGCAGCCCCCAGGGGCGAGTGCCCCGTGCCCACCTGGTAGCCCAGGCCGGGGGCTGCCGCAAGGCACAGCACAAGTTCCGATATCCTCCATCACCCCCAGCCCCCCCTCCCGTCACCAGCCCCCCAGACAACCCCCAGTGCTGTGGCTGCTGCCCGGGGAGGGCACACTCACAGTGCCCACGGAGCACTGCCCCAGGAGCTGTGTGACGGTGGCACACGGGCTGCAGACCGCTCCCTTTGCACCCTGCCAATGCAGATGGGGGCTTTGGAACTGGAAAAGGAGGGGATTTGTTTGTTTTCCTCCTCACCTGGCAGGGCCTTCGCCCATTTGACCACGTAGACCAGCTGCCGCTCCCCAAGCTCGTTCAGGCTGGTCAGCAGGTTGGAGAAGGAGTCTGGCTGGCTGTTGTCGTGGCCAGCACACACCACGCCGGGCTCGATGGCCTCCAGGACGTTGAGGAAGATGGGCTGGCACTCGTAGCCATCGATGCGTGTCATCACCAGCTTGGGAGCTTGCTCCTCCGTGGGGCTGGATGAGCTGCCTGCCTCCACCTCATCCTGTGTCTTCAGGTTACCCAGTTTCTTCAGCTTGCGGGCTGTGGGAAGTACACGGTTCAGTGTGAGACTTAAAAATTAAAAGAAAAAAAAAAGGTTGAGGCTTCTTGGCCCTACTTATAGTTACGAGGAAAGGAAAAGTGATGACCAGCAGCCGCTCCTCCCTTAGTGGACGTTGCCCAAGGAGTGCCCCGGCATTGCAGCCCTCACCTAAGGACAAGGGGACCACACACTGCACGACAAAATCCATTTCCTTGTTAATGTAACATGGAAAAGAACCAGCATCATTTACATTCTCAGCCATGACTGGTCTCCAACTCCCCCATAAACACAGAGATCATCCAGGGAAAAGTGAGGTGACTGACTCAACTGCTCACAAGAAGATAAACTCAGCACATGATCATGTTCTAGGGAAAAAAGTGATTGCACTTGGATACCCAAGTGGGATTGTTCCATTCCAGGCCAAAGTGAAAGTGGGATGCAACTGAGATAAAAGCCTTCTCTTTGCAACACCTGCCCCCCCACATCCAGGCTCTCCCAGATATCACACATACATTATGGAAAACACATTTCAGAAGCCAGCAGGCAATTCCAGGGCCTGAAACCATGGGGAGCAGACCTGGGCAGAGGTGGCATCACTGCTTCATGAGCCCCATCAGCGACTGTGCCCATGGCACCATGACAAAGCGTTCGTCCCACACAGCTGGCTCTTAACCACAGCTGCTGGTCTGCCTGCAAGGCACACCAGTGCTCCAGAGGCAATGCCAGAGCCCTTGGAGAGTTTGTGTTTCCCTCACTGATACCTGTGTGACAGTGCTTGGCACAGGTGGGCTGCTACTGCCACCCCTCACCAACTCCAAACCCTCACGAATTAGAGAACAAAAGCCCATGGCTTCCTTCAAGCAGGGAATACGACATTAAACCAGTTGTCCTCGGGGGGGGTTGGCTCCTTCATTACATGATACTTATCTTGAATTTCCTTTCAGCTGTAATTAGAAAAATAAGCAGCGAGACATAAAAATGTCAAGTCAAAGTGCAGCCCTGTAAATCAACTGCAAACATTGATCTCTAAGCACTGTACTCTAGATGATCTGGTGTATGGGCAATGAAGACAGGATGCTCTGTAAAAAGGGAGGAGACATGAGTAACAAAAATAAAGGAGTGCAAGAGGAAAACAGGGCAGCGTGACGGCCTCTGGCCATCGCCCGCTCGGGTGGCAGGGCCCTGTCTCCCGCCCCTCCTGAAGTCACAGCACTGCCCAGGCCACCAGTAACCCATGTCCCCAAGTGCCACATCCACAGGGCTGTTAAATGCCCCCAGGACGCCACTGCTGCCCTGGGCAGCTGTGCCAGGGCTGGACAACCCTTTGGGGTTTAGAAACAACCAGTGCCCCGGGTCCTGGGTGTGAATGGAGCCAAACCCACATGTATAAGATACACATATGGTTTGGTTTAAATGTGGGGGTTTTCCTTAAGATTTAATTATCTAGTGTTAAAAAATCCTGAGTGAAGTAAGAAGAGAGCAAGGACCAACCGTGCTGGCTCTGAGATTGCAGCCACAAACCAGACCCCTCCGTGCTAGGGTGTGATAACTGCGCTATTGGGGTTTGGGCATTCCAGGAGCAGCTGTCCCACAGCTCACTGAAATACAGATGCTACTTGGTGAAAAAAAGTTTCAGAGGAAAAGATTGGTTTATACTCAGCACCTGTGCCAAACCTCTTTGTGGTGGTAGCTCCCACTCAGCAGCTACCGGGAACAAAAACAGAAATAGAAAAATAGGAATTGAAGACATCTGTAATGTTTTTTTCCTAGGATGAGCTAAGCTGGGCAGAACTCTACACTGCATTTCTTCAAGCCAAGGTGGGAGGAACCCTGTAACAGGGGGTGTTCCTGCTCAGCTGCCACCAGGGACGGGGGACAGCAGCACCCAGGAGCCTCAAGGTGCAGCTGCAGCACAGCATCGCCCCAAACCCCCTGCAGCACCACTGCGAGCTGGCTCGGGAGTCACCGGGCAACTACGGTATGGATTTGGAAAAAAGCTTAGAGGACACAATTACATGGTGTCACAATAAAATATTCACCAGTGCAAGAACCCCCGGGGAGCACAGTTCGAACAACTGCCCTCCTGGCAGGCACTTCTGAAGCCCTGAGGGAGGAGCACTCTGGGCTCCAGAACCAATTTTTTGTGAATTACAGGACTCAAGCAAGTTCTGGGGACTTGGAAGAAGCTGCTTTTGCACTAATAATGGAGACATCCTGCCCCTGGCAGCACATGCTGAGCTCAGCTGCAGGCAGGACACAGAAGAGCTGAACGGGACTTGACTTACATCCTGTTCTTTGAAATTTTTATGAACTTCAACATGTGGCTTGTCAAAACCTGAACCTGTCAAGCTATCAGTCTTATCTGACACAATAATTTTAGTTGATAATTACAACATTGTTGGTGCAGCAGACACCTTTAAGAGATCTGAGTCAATCAGGCCCATGCGAATGAAAAGAACTCAAAGGATATAAAATCAGACAGTATTGCTGAATGATTGCAACCCCCCAATGACACATCTCAAAGGCAAGTATAAGTGTTGAACATCAGACAGGTTTGTTTCTTACCAGGGTGGCTTACAGCTCTCTGCTAGTAAATGTCTACATTCATCCCCAAACCAGAATTAACTATTTTTCCTCAACCAGTCTGTATAGCAATGCATGGATGGGAAAATAGGGATGAACACAAAGGACTGATCACTGAACAGACAGACCGAGGTCTGCAGATAAGTGCTGACAGATGCTGGCAAACTGCAGGAGCCATGAGAACACTGAAGATTTGACAACACACCTTGGAGCAAGGAGGTAAGGAATGTCACCCAGGTGGCTGTGCAGAAGGCAAAAGGGTTATTGAGTCACAGCCAACAAATATCCACTGCAGGGAGAGAAATTCAATAAAACTCGGTTTTTCAACTGAGCAAACAAGGTTGTAATAAAGATCCAATCGCTGGAAATGAAGGGCAGATGATGAAAAAAAGGTACATTCAACACAACACTGATCATAATTAACTACTGCAACGGCTCTGCAAAACTCGTGTCAGATTCCCCCTGGCTGGAATGGCTCACATCAACACCCACCGTGTGTGTGAGATGGGAGCCCTGCTCTGCCCCCAGCAGCTGGACCTGAATTAGGGTTAAACACAACTGTGCCTCAAGCCTGGGCTTTCACAGGCTTTCGGCTGTTACCACAGGAGATTTCCAGCCCTACCACCAACAAAATTAATGGAATTTCACATGTTTGGGAGATTTTGTCCCAAGCCAGGACCCACAGGGCACAGTGGCCAGGCTGGAGGTGCCCTGATGTCCTACAGCACGGGCAGCTGCCAGCTCTGGCTGCAGGCACAGGCGCTTGGGGCATCCCATGGGAACAGCCCCCGGCACCTCACACGGGGGCTGGCAGGATCCCTCAGCACCTGCCCTGGCAGCAGGCACAGGGTGGTGGGTTGGTAGGCACAGCCAGCTCACCAGCAGGACCAAGCACACAGAAATTGCATTATCACTGGGGTTTTTTCTTTTTTTTTATTTTGGTGGTTTGGTTTTTTTTCGTCTTTCCCTCTCCACACTGTCATTCAGGAGAGAAGATCCTGTTTAATGGATTCCAGCTTGCAGGTCACAGTGATCTCAAGCAATAATGAAGTGCTTCAAGATGTTGTCATCCTGTGCCAGAGCAGAGCCGGCAGAAGGCATTCGGTGTGTCACCTCCTCCTCCTCCTCCCGCGCCGCGAGAGCCGCGGGGCTGCCAGGCTGTACCCCAACAGCGACAGTAATTAGCCAGCGGTTAAAAACAACTGCTTGGAGCCTGGGAGCAATTACAAATGCTCTGCCTCCACCGTGGGAGACGCTACTGTGGGCAATCACAAGCCTGCCTGTTTGTAACAATTGCCTTTATACCGACATCCAAACCAAATGTAAAACAGACCAGGCAGAACAGGTCAGGGTGACCCAAAGAGCTGAAGGAAAAAGAAGGGGGTGTGTGTTCATATTAGCATTAATTTTGTCAGTGTGTCCTGCAGAAGAAGGTTACGCTGATGTATGTCTTCTCCTACTTAAGGAAACTTCACCAGGAAAAAGCACTTAAAAATAAGCTAAAAACTGGGGATTAGGACTGCACTACCTTTCGGGACCATTGGGAAGAAACAAAACTAAACCCTCTGCTCGTTGGTGAGCCACAAATCAGAACCACTTCAGTAACAAGTCCTTCAAGACACCGTTGTGGCAGCCCAGCAGCCCCCGGAGACTCAGCCCATCCCAGCAATGGGGTCAGGATTTAACCCAAAACACTGGCACATCTGAGCAGCCTGGGCTCCCCACTGCCCACCCAAGCTGTGCTGGAGTTCCTCCCCCATAACCCCCTCAATCCAGGGCTTCCCAGCAGGGGGCAGGTCCTTCAGTCCCCTTTTCCAGGGTATTTTCTTCCTCACTCTACATCACAGAATCACAGGATGGTTTGGGTGGAAAGGACCTTAAGCTCATCTCGTTCCACCCCTGCCATGGGCAGGGACACCTTCCACTAGGCCAGGTTGCTCCAAGCCCCATCCAACCTGGCCTTGGAACTTCCAGGGCTGGGGCAGCCACAGCTTCTCTGGGCAACCTGTGCCAGGGCCCAGGGAAGGGTTTCATCAAATCAGTTCAATGTGGAGCCACCCACTGTAGTTTCCAGATTTTGCACAGAAAACCTCAGATTTTGGATATGGCCACTCTGTCAGGTTTTGGTAGGGCTACAGGTTTGGGAACGGAGACAAACTGCAACAAGGACCTTCACCAGGGACACAGGCACGGCTTCCATCCAGCGAAGGAAAGCACCGGGGCTGTAATTTCACCAAGAAATTGCCCCTTTCTGCTGGGAAAAATCCCATCAAAAGAGGGGAGTGCTCTGCTCTGAGGCTCCAGGAGTGAGAACCAACTCACTTGGCAGTTTGCATTTTTTCAGATTAACAACATTAGAAATCAGAGAAAAGAATGCTTTCTGAAATGCAAACAGAAATTAGTGAAATTCACAGTTCTGGTGTTAGAACCCTGCAAATGCTTCCTGAAGCTCATCGGGCTCCATCAGCCTCATTTTGCAGCCATTTCCTGACTGCTCACACACCAAGTGATGTGCAGGGACCCGGGAGGGGACCCTGACCATACCTCCGAGCGTCATCCCGGCCTCGTAGCACTTCCGCAGGCGGCAGGAGGGGCAGTTTTTCCGTCGGAACTTGTCGATGGTGCAGTCGTTCCGGCTGGCACACAGGTACTTCTGTTTGCCTAAAACAGCAGAGAAATGGAACATGGGTGCTGGGTACTGCTGGGAGAAATGGGCTCGGGCTTTTTCGGTATCACCGGGGGCAGTGGCATGAGGAGAAGAGAGGGAGAGGGATGGGAAGAGGAGGAGAAGAGGAGAAGGAGAAGGAGGAGGAGACCACATCAGTGCTGGTTTCCCAGTGCACTCTCCAGAAAAAAACTTATGTTGGAAGTTGGTATCTTTTGGGAAAACAGTACAGTTCTGCCTTTGGTGCTGCAGGAGTGGTTCATGGCCAGACGTTGCATGAGCACTGGCTCCCCAAAATGCAGCTGGGTCACTGCTGTTCCACCACACTCCAGCACCCCTGCCCTGCACTGCTGCCCTTCGCCCACACACAGCAGAGGCTTTTAGACCAAGATCTCCAAGGAGAAAAGTCCTCGAAGACTGAAAACCCAGGCACTCTGCACAGTGCAGCACTGCAGAGGCAAACAATAATGAGCAATTAAAAAGCACTGAAATATGGAGAGTTGGGTTCTCATTTTTTCAATGTCATCCATCTATCTATTGCCTGGCTTTTGGTGGTTTTCTCCCAGAACACCAAACCCCACAGTTTGATCTCCTGCCCTGACACTCAACTACAGTTGGCCGAACACAGTTCCCAGACTCACTGTACAACTACAACTCTGTACAAGCCCTTTTGTGGCTGAATTACTTTTTGTGCCACCCATCAATACCAGTTGGGTCTGTTGGCTGCAGGTTACAGACACGGGGGTTGGGGAGCTGCTGCTCTACAGGTGAGTCTGATGCCACCCCATCCCCTGGGCTGCACCCACAGCCAGCCAGGAGGGAACTGGAACCAGCGACTCCCTGCAAGGGGGACCTTGCACAGCCATGGGTTTTGGGGGCTTGCAGAAAATTCGGAAGTTACTTATTGTCAGACTAACCTGCACCTCAGACTCACCCTCTTCTCACTCAGAGAGCAGCCCATGCAGGTCCAGATCACAGCTTTTTTGTTCACTGCCCCATTTGCTAGACAAGCCATAAATGAACTGTTCTTCCTGACTCATCACTTGTTTCCTTGTCAAGTATAAACACATTTACTGGATCAGGACTTATCTGATGTTCTTCAGATCATTTCAAACTAAATCAGGCTCAGCCCGTAATAGACAGGTGCAGCTCACAGACCCATGGGCAATCCACATGGGAAACCAGCCCGTGGCCTTTATTATCATCCTGCAAAGGTTTGCTTTTTGCATTCCTATGGGAATAGCCCTTTGGAGTCATCAGAAATCTGCTAACAGGACGAGGCTGAATTCAACCCCTTAATGTATGAGCTTTGACAAGAGATGCACCAATTTTGGTGCACAGATTTAATAATCCCCACCTCCTTTGCACACCTCCTCCACTGCTGCCCTCACTGGCGCTGCCTGTGGCTTTCCCGGTGCCCTCCCGGGTCCCTCCGCTCCCGCCCGGCAGGACCAGCCACCTCTGCCACCACAGACCCCCTGTGCAGGGGCACAGCGAAGCCCCCACGGGGCTCAGCACCGGCCTGTCCTTTCACAGCACCCAAGGGCTGCACAAACACCCTTCGTTCAACCTTCTCAGAACCATCCCCTTCAGAGCAGACCATCACCCACCCCCACACCCCAGGCATTACCTGTGCTACCTGACATTCCTAAACCCTTCAGCTCTGTCCTCAGAGCAGCTCTTCTCACCCCCTCCCCAGCTCATTTCCCATGTGAAGGACACCCAGGGAAACCTCAATGACACCTAAATGCAAAGGAGCACAAGCACCATCTTCCCTTTCAGCAGTTCATTGAGGAGGATGAGTAATAAAGAACTTCAGCTGAAATTGGGTTACCTGGAGTTATTTTTGTGCCGGGGGCACTGAGCACTAGGCCACATTCCCTCCCCTCAACCTCTTCAGGTGCTCACATCAATCAGGAATGGGTACCCTACTTTCTGAGGTATGGAAAGCTGGAATGAGATTTGACTCCTGCCCTATGACAACAGTGCCTGTTGCTGGAATGCTCCAGGGCTCATCGAGCCACCACCAGTACAACAGGCTGAGCTCCAGCCCAGCCCACGGGGCCACCCCAGTGCCTGGCCGAGGCTGTATGGCTGCAGTGACCAGTGCTGCCCCAGGAGCACCCACATGGCCCCCCCAGCTCTCCCCTCAGCTCCTGTTCCAGCTCTGTCTCACCTCCCTAGTCTAAACTACAGCATTTTTTGCAACAATAATAGCTAAAAATCTTCCCAAAGGTCAGGCCTCTCCTGTGAAGGGCCTGAGCAGGTGGCACCACTGCTGCCTGAGCCCCAGGGACACTCCAGGGTCAGGCACAGCTCACCCTGAATTCCCCTGTGCCAGAAGCAGCGCCCACCAGCCCCAGTCCGTTCCTCATCCCTGGGATTTGAGCTGCATCCCAACACATGGGCTTCTCCCCCACCCTGCTCTGTCCCCCCAGGCACCCACAGGAGGGGAGCAGGGGGACGGATGAGACCTGGGAGTGGGTCCAAGCTTTGCTCAGTGAGGCAGCCGTGCTGTTCCCCATCAGCTCCTCAGCAGCATTTGCCAGCCCTGGCACTGCTGGGAAGGGACATGGAGAGGGAGCCTCTCCCACCAGCTGGGAGCAGGCGGGTGCCCCAGTGCCCAGGTGACAAACTGAGGAGTCTGCAGGATGGCCGTGCCTTGGCATGGGCTGGGAGCAGCACAGGCTGGGAGCTGCAGACAACAGCTCTCCCCACAGTCATGGTACAGGGACATTACTGGGTGGCCAGGGCAGCTTCCTGGTTCATGGAGGCTCTTTGGGGCAGGAGCCCATTCCCTGTTGCCTGAGCCTGCACAAGTGAGTCCTGTTTGCTTTATGCTGTTCACCAGTAACAAAAAGGGAAACAAAAAGCCATGGCAGGTCATGGGGCTGCTGCTGCTCCCTGTGAGGATGAGCTGCTCACCTCGCCCACCTCATCCTAATTCCTGGGGGTGCAGAGACTCCCCTCCTAACCACTAGGGAAGGAGCCACCATCTGTAAAAGCCCAGAGAACTGGGAAGGGTGGCTGGGACATAGATGGGTTCCTTCTGTATGAAGTAACTTCTCACACACCTGTTTCTAATTTCAGGGTAATTCACTCTCCTCATTTCAGAACAACTGGAGACACTTGCAATCAGCTGTTCTTTATTTAAAGACAAATGCACCGGTTTTCCTTCTCTGAAGTTTAACTCTGAAAAGACTTTTTCACCTCCTTTTCTTCCCTGCAAACAACGACTGCATTGTGTCACTGCAATGCAGAGGGTCTTGTTTTGCAAACCTGTACATACAGGTCCAAACCTTACATCCACTCTCTGGTGTTCTCCACCCTTTGCAAGGCCCATCTCCCAGCACTGGCCAGGTGTCTGCCCAGAGACCACAGCCCAGCTGAGGACACTGCAGATGTCACCCTGACAAGTCCCTACTCCTCCCCTGCAGCCCAGGTCCTGTTTGACACGTACACAGGTGAGGAGCAAAGTCACAAAGGCACCCAGCATCCTCTGCCTTCCCAGACCAGCACAGGCACCGCAGGAGAGCTTCTGTTCCTCCGATGCCCTTGCAGTCTGTGGCACCCCCCCCCACGAACACACTGCTGTGCCACTGCCCCCCTCGCTGGGAACAGCCCGTGCTGCCACCTCAGGCCCATCCTGTGCCACCTCACCCAGGCAGGAAGATTCTTGCGCCACCTCCGAGCCCCTCCCGCCCATCCCCTGGGACCGCAGTGCACAGCCAGAGCCAAGGGGAAGAGGCACTTTCCAGCCTCGACTAAAAATATTGTGGAGGAGAGTTGCTCAATCCAGAGGAATTATCTAACTAACAGCCTGCAGGAATTATCTAACAGCCTGTTGCCACACGACCTGTTTTGCCCAGAATAACTTTTTCTTCTAGACAGCAAAGTAATCTGTGCAAACATCTGGAGCAAGATTTATGACTGTAAATGTGAAAACCCAGTAAATGCCTTTTGAAGAGAGATATAAAACCCAGTAAATGCTTTTTGGAAGAGGGAGATCCTCATATTTCAGGGCATAAACAGAATTCTAAGAGCTGGGGGATAAGGCCAAGATTTCTGTGAAAGCGAATCCCCCAGGGCCTCGTGTTACCACTGAAGCTCCAGTGCTCTCCTGGGAAACCTCTGGTCCTTGGGCTGACACCAGCAGGGCCATGCCCAGAGCTGAGCCCATGGGTTTGGTGCTGGCAGCACTTCCCACAGGATGCCCCCATTAACAACCCAAGAGGGCTCAGCCACGAGGCTCCCGGCAGGCAGCACTAAGCCACTGCTGATGAACTCCCTTTGCAAAGCCATTTTCTGAATAGTCCCCTGTATTTACCAGATGGCTACAGAGAGCATGGGGAAAGCATCCAGATTTTCCCCAGCTCTGTTCATCTCACTTTCTGCTCTCCCCATGGATTTTTAAGGCACATAACACCAAAACAGTCATGAGAAACACACCACTGAAGCAGGAGTATCGTGGTGCTGCAGCACCATCAAATCTGCAGAGCTGACTTGTTTGCATGTCAGATCAGCCCAAGAAGGAGGAGAAAGCATTTCGAAACGTGGCAAGGGACTTTGCAAACATTCACTTTAACTTGATGTCATCTTGAAATCTGGCAAGATACTGCTGAGTTGGCCCAGTGACATCTCTCTGGTGCAAGGCTAATCCTCAGCAGGTCAGGACATAGAACGCTAATCCATATGGAGACTGATGGAGGCAATCAGAGCAGCCTGCACAGCAGCCTGGCTGGGTGCCCACTAGGAAAATTGCCAAATACTGTGTTATTTTTTTGATTCAGCTCTCTGCTATTTAAAGGCAGCCCCATCAGGAACACACTCCAAGGCATCCCAGTCCTGCACTGCCAGGAATGTTGTGCAGAGGCAGTTCTGGGCTGGCTCAGGTAGCCACCAGATCTCAGCAACCTCAGAGGGGCGTGGAAGGTCTGTCACTCTCCAGGGGTGGATGCAGGGACAAGGACAGGACGGGGACAGGAAGCCCTGGGCTGCTAATTGAAACAGAAGCTGTTGTGTTTGAAGCATTTTTCTGCTTCAGGGGTAAGGGTGGCATCACGAGGGCTGAACTCTGATGTCTTCAACCCACCCCAGCCAGCCTAACCATGCCGAGAGGTGCCTTGTCTACTCCTGCCTACTTGTGTCAAGAAAAACGGCATCTGTGCTGAGGTGGGTGAGCTTTTTGTTCACCAAACGAGGAGGAGGAGCCCTCTTTGTGGGCAGCAGAGGAGCAGCAGCCCAGCTGGCCGGGCAGCCAGCCCCAGCCCTCTGGACCCTCCAGACCCTCCGTGCCGGGACCCCCAGGTGGGTGACAGCAAGGAAGAGCCCAGCTCTGGGCTCGGTCACAAAACAAGGGCAGAGGCAATCTGCAGGGTGTGCTTCAGTGCTGTCCTAGACACAGCCTGGACATCTTGGGAGAGTCCATGAATCAAGAGAGCTGGCAGAATGAGATCAGGAGACCAACCCTGCCTTTTCTGTTACCTCTTCCAGCATCTTTTTGGATGAATCAGTTGAACCTGAGCTTGTGAAAACCCTCAAGTCTATCAACCATTTCATCAAATCAGGGGTAAGAAAGCACTGCTCCTGCTGCAAACCCCTCATTGTGTCCAAAGGGAAGAATCAGCCTCACAACTTTGTTTCTAAAATCTTTTCCCTTTCTCTCTACCAGCACATTTCTATAAAACCTCCTTAAATTTTGGGTCTTTTGACCATGGTATGACCTACTCAACACCTGGTCTCCTGACACCTGACAGGATGCACCTTTCTCAGAGGGGAAAAAGAGTTCTAGCACAGGAGCCAGCAGGGCTCATTGACAGAGCTTTAAACAAAAACCTGCCCCTGCCCTGCATTCAGTACCTATAATTGAGCCTGATTTATTGTCTCTCCCCCCCAAAAAAGACTATCCATGTACCTCAGGGTAACGTAAGATGAAAGCTTACACTCCAGCAGGTGCCCCTGCCCCTCCCTGCACACACACGTGGCTCCAGGCCAAAGAGCTGTTGTCTGATTCCATCATGGCCGAACACTTTTAACCCTCTGCCATACTGCAAGGTTGAAGAACCAGGAAGAGGCATAAATACCATTTAAATTCATGATATAACACAGTCAGGAAAGGGAACAACCCCACAGCACATGCCTGTGGAGCAGTGTGAGCAGCCCAGGCTGCCCCTCTCCCCTTTGGGCACCTCCATCCCCTGTCACCCACAGGACAGAGCCCACCCGGTGCCAGGGGACTGCAGCTCCAGCACCAAGCCACAGACAGTTTGTCTGACTGAGAGCCAAGACTCCACTTACTATAAATCAACAACAACTTGCTGACTTAAACAAGCATCTGTTATTTACTCTGGCTGCATAAGCCAACCCACTTGGCCTGACACAGACTGATGTGCAGCAGAGCCAGATCTGCAAATGATTTACTTGGGAGGAATATGCCAAATTTATTAACTATTATTTGACCGCCCTTTCTGGCAACAGGACCCTGATGTCCCCTGTGGCACAGCTCCCATTCTTCCCTAAACCAGCACTGGCAAGTTGGCTCCTGGCACACTCCAAACCCAGGCAGGATAATGATAATTGATCTGGAAGCATCACTCTGACAACAGCAGGTGAGGACCCCCAGAGTGGGACCTCTGCTCAGAGGGGAGGGGGTGGGCACATGGGGAGGTGCCGGTGAGACAGAAGCTCTGTCCCCATCACTGCTGCCAGCCGAGGACCACGGGGCCTCCCTCTCCCAGGGACACCATGGCTGGTGACACTGGCTGCCAAGAGCACACACCATGGAAATTGTGTTAGCACCAAGGAAGTGGTGCTTGTGCTGGTTCATCACTCCTGAAAGCAAGCCCAGTGAGTGATTACAGGCACGTTGCATTGCTGGACAGTTAATCTTCCACAACAGAGACTCTCACTGCTGCCAAGGAACCACCACTCTGAACTGCAAGCAGAAACCAGACATTGCTGAGCCACAGCCCAAGGAAACAGCTGGGCTTGGTCCTTCTGCACGCTCTTTCCCGAGGAGAGATGGTGCAAAGACCTTGCCGTTGAGAGGAAACATTTGGGCTCATGCATAGTGCTGGAGAGCCTGGAACTACAGAGCTGGACACGAAGGAGGAGTTGCTCTCTCAGGGGCTGGGTTAAGGATCACGGACCCCGAGGTCAGAGCACAGCTCCTCAAGGACAGACATTTGTTCTGTTTTGCAGGCATTGACAAAAGTGACCCTCTGGAAGGGATGCAGGAGAGGAAAAGCCTTCCCCAAATTTGGAGTTGTGGGTCTGAGATCGCAGGTGGGCTGATGGGAGCTTAAAGAACTCCGGAGAGTCAAGAGGAAAAGCAGGAGCTGACTGCTCTGGGGACTCACTAGGCCATTTCAGATAATCATGGAATCACAGAAGGGTTTGGGTTGGAAGGGACATTAAAGACCATCTTGTTCCACAACCCTGCTATGAGAAGTGACACCTTCCACTAGACCAAGTTGCTCAATGCCACTGAAAAGAATAGTGTTTTGGCAAACTGGTTTGGCTACCTTTTGAGGGCAATCTGTAATGTGGAATGACAAACACAGGACAAAGAAATCAATTTATCCCAGATTTTTCTCCTTTCCTTGTTTAAGAGGTCTTAGAACCCCTTCCTCCTCTCTGCCCCATTACCTTCAGCCGCCCGTTTGAAGAAGACTTTGCAGCTCCCACACGTGAGGGCTCCGTAATGGCACCCGGACGCTTCATCTCCACAGATCAGGCAGGTCTTCTGAGGTGGGAAGTAATAGTCAATGGGCAGGACATGGTCACGGCCAGTCTCCAACCTGCAGCATAAAACAGAGAGAACAAGGGAAGGGTCAGCAAGCGTGGTCAAGACAAGCTACAGGGAGCATCGCAATGGGGCCTGGAAGAACCCTCATGGCAATCCCAAAACTGAGGGGATGAACAAGCCAAGCACTGAGCAGCAAGCAGATGAGCAAGGACTGAGCCAAACTTGGCTCTGATCACGGAGAGACAGTGCCAGGTGCCCCCCCTGACACTGCCCCGGGTGCAGTGTGTGACAATGTGTGACAAAGTGACAGCACAGCCTAGAGAGAGAAGGCGACTGAGATGGGCTGTTGCAGTGCCCATGGAATTCTGGCTTCAGTAAGGAAGCTTGTACACCAAACAAGGCAGACTGCAGTGCTGCCAACTGCCTAATGCCACGTGAACCACCCAGCTGAGACGTCCCAAGAGCCCACCTCCCTCCCCAAACAGCCCTCGTGCTTTCCCCACCCACACGCCCACATCCTCCCCTCTCGGCTGGCACCCTCCTGCTGACCCCCTCCCCACCCTGATCTGATCTCTTTGATCAAATCCATGGAGAAGCTGCTTTTCCAGAGGACATGGCAGCAGGAGGGCCTTATCCAAATCAGGAGCCAGCATGCCCAGGCAGTCTGGGGAGCAGGAGCACATTGAGTTATTTGCTAAAACTTGCTTTTTCTCCAACCGCTGGATGAGGCAATTAGCTTCTAACAGTCTGCAGGTCACTGCAACTTTTGAGTAAAATTTAGATCCCTTTTGGTTTCTGGCGTTGTTTGTTGCTTTCAGGTGGGTTCTGAGAAATCAGATTGCATCAACAGTGAATGTAACAAAGATGGGACTTCTTGGAATAAACCTTTATACCCAGAAAAGCCCCACTTGGGCCCACAGTAAACCCCAAACCCACTGAAAACAGATTTTTTCCTTAGATATTTTAATTCTGATAACAAGAGCTGCTTTATTAGTCCAGATTATCCATCCCCTCCTGTTCTGCTTCCTGAAAGACATAAATTAAACTGAGGAGAGAGAGGTTTTAAATGGTTTTTATATGAGCTGGGATGCTCAACTCCAACCCAAGACCAGGCTATCTCCAGAGGACCAGTGCGGTGTGCCTGTCACAGTGGGCAGGGCTCTTTGCCAAAGGACAGCTCTTTTCCAAGCCCTGGATGGCTCATCTCCAAGCCCCTCACACCTTGGGATTAAAGCACAACAGGAGACAGCCACTGGTGATCTCAGTCTGCAGGGTCACCTTGCTCTGACCTCGCTGCCTGTCTGTCCCCCTGCAGTGCTGCTCCCTCCTTTCCCTCCCTGGGAGCTGTGCAGACCCCACCTCAGTTGCAGGTCAGTAACTGGAGCAGCAATTTCACCCTCAGTGCTTAAGGCAGAAACCTTTTGAGTGATTTCTCATCTCTTTGCCAGCAGCAATCAGAAACTTGTCTGTAGATGCTGCTCAACCACCATTCCCCAACCATCTCCATTTCCAAGACTTTTCTTGAATTACTGATTAAAAGAAGACACAATTGGATGCACTGTGACTGCCACAGTCTAGTCCTGATGCAAGCAACGTCTCCCTGTCTCAGCTTCCCTGGCATACCACCCATCCTCCTGGCATGATCCCACCACCCTGTCCCAGGGCACCCCTGCATCCTCCCACACCACCACCCCGTGCCACAGAGCCCTGGCACTCAGTGTGAGGGGCTGCTGGGGAGCAGACCCTACTGAGGAATAGCAGCAGCACATAAAAAAGCTTGGCTAAAAATGTCTTATTTCCCCAGCATGTTTTAGATTCCCACAGAACCAGACCTTTCTGCTAAAGACCCCTCTCTTTTCCCCCCTGTGCAGTTGGAAATCTGACAGTGCATATTTCCCTGTTTCCATAAGGCTTCCATGCTCTCTTCCCCATGCTTGGCACCATGTGTGCCACAAGCAGCAGAGCTTCTCACAGCAGCTGTCCTGACGACAGACACAGGACCCCTCAGAACACCCTGGGGTTTTTGAGGATTAATTATCTAAAACTGAAAGCAGGTTCAAAATGGAGTGGCTTCTGAAACAGGTTTTAAAGAGCTGTTTCTGCACAGGAAGAGTTGTGCAAGTACAGATACACCTTCCAGCAGGTGTGTATGGAGTGTGCCCCTTGCGTGTGCCCGTGCCAGGGTTGGGGCTGGGCAGGGCTCCCCACACTCCCTCTGTGCTCAGTCACCCTCACCCCCATTGCTGCCAAGGGATGGAGCCTGGAGGGTGCTGGCAGACATGGAAGGTGGTTCTGGGCCACGGGACAGGCTCCTGTGGGGTGTGGGCAGTCCCATCAGGGCAGGAGATGGTGTTCCGGCAGGCGGGGAGCGGCTCGGCCGCGGGCCCTGCAGCACTGACACGATTCCCAGCTGCCTCCCACACCTTCCCCACTGGCAGCCACTGCCCAGAGCTGAACGACCAGCCCAGGGACACCCTCGATTTTAAAATGATGCCAATTTGCCTTTTCTTTTTTATTTTTAGAGAGAGAATTGCAAGAAAAACATAATTTAAAATGTAGGCAACCCAGAGCGAGCTGTGCTAATGGTTGCCTTAATGATCCAGTTTCCAGTTTCCAAAGAGACATTTCCAGGGTGTTCTCAGAATGTGTAAGTAATAAATAACACTGCAATGAGCCAAACAGGTGCCTGGGGAGGTTTCAGGGGCCGGCAGCACTCTGGGCAGAGCCTCAGGTGCCACCTGCCCCAGGGTGCCAGCCCCTTGCCCCCACGTAGGGCACTCGAGGGACAGGAGGGTGGCTCAGCAGCTGGCTTGCCACCTTTCCTCCAGGTGGAAACATGTACCCTGTGGGTCCCTGCTGGCTGCACCCACCCCCCAGAGCCGCAGGAGCGCTGACGTGGAACCAAAACAAGCCCCGAGAGTGTTGTGGGGGACTCTGCAGTGGCCCGATGCGCGGCGATGCCAGCCCGCCCGGGCAGGGCGATAGCGGCCGGCACAGACACAACTGGGCCGGTGACAGCGGGGGCGATGCCGGGCCCGGCACAGGCCAAGGTCAGGGCTCTCACAGAGGAGCTCGGCGGCTTTCGTGGCGGGAAAAAACAACCTCAGTATCTCTTCTACAGCTGTAGGAAGAGCTTTACTGTTGTTTGAGAAGGCTTCTGTAAGGAAATGGAGAGTTTATTGAGCTCCTGCCATGTGCAAATGTTTCTGGGGAGCAGAAATGATCATTTTGCAATGCAAACATGTGTTTGTCATTAGTTAAATTTCACCAAGCAGCCACATTTCACAACACATCCAGAAAGCCAAGAGCAAGCACAGGTAAGAGAGGAGCCAACCACTTTTGACCCACAAAGGAAGTTTCCATCTCAGCAACAGCCAGTACAAGGCACAGCTGTCCCCTTGCCTGCGACTTCCCACCCCAGGCCAGATCAGGACAAAGTGATGGCAGCTGCCATGCACCCTGGCACATCTGGCACAGGAACCCTGGAGTAGTGCACGCTGGTCCCACACCTTGCCCTCCGGGGAAAGGGGTAAGGGGTTTGCACCTTCATCACACTCTGTCAAAAACCTGCCTATCATGCTCAGGAGGACGCTGAGCCCAGAACTGAGCCAGCACTCACACGTGAACTCAGGTGACACAGAACCCTCTCCAGTCATTTCAACCACTGTCAATTCTGAGACACTCTAATGTTGCCAGGAAGAAGTGCTGCCTTTAAAAAGGCATTGCCTGTGCATGACATCCTCAAATGCAGTATTAAAACTAAGTAGCTTTCCCTCCTGCCTGGCCGAAGGTCTGTGACTCACACCGAGGGGCCAGACCCACGCCCAGCAAAGGGCACGACTGCTGACTTCGGGCACATCCTCATGTCCCCTTGCACTGCCCTTTGGCTGCCACTGGCTCCAGCCAGTGTTGAGCTCAGCCTGTGCCTGCAGCCACCATACCACGCTCACCCACATAACAAGGCCTGCAGGGAAACTTTAAAGCATCTCATCTGTTAAAATGCTGTGAGCAATTCAATCTATGCAGCCGTGGACATTGATTTTATTTCCTTTCTTCTAAATAGCCTTGAGTGTGTTTCCAATCTGCCCGTGCCTTGTTTTCATCTGTGATGGCTGGCAACAGAGGCACAATAGCATCTGAGAGCAGAGAAGGGCACAGTGTGAGCCACAGGCCTAGTAAACATACATGAGAACTGGATCATCACCAGATTTAATAAAATAAATATTAGCAGATGACAACGGATTTTTCAAACATCCCAGCAAGGGGGGCTGGTTGGAGGAAAATGCTTTGGAGAAGAAGAAGGTCCTTCCACCAACAGCTCTCAGGAGCAGGCTGGGCTCTCCAGTCCTGGCACTGCCTTCCAGCCTCGGGGGCACAAACAACTTCCACAAGTACAGCTGCACACCCTTCTCAAATCTCCAAATTAAACTCTGTTTTCTCTTTTCAAATATGCTGTTTATTTATTTTGACAGTTTATTTTTCACATGGCAGATCCTCTTAAAGCCTCCCCACCCCCAATCCCTGGCTCTTTTCCCTCCTGTTCTCTCTGCTGTGCACTAAGGCTGCTCCAGCCTGCTGCTGCATGGAGCCAGCCACTGTTTGTCCTGCTCTCAGGAGACAGCCCCAACCTGCCAACCTGACTGGCCAAGGCACTGCAGGCCCTTTGATGGGATGGATGGCAGAGCCATAGCATAACCCAGACCTCTGGGAGGCTCCTCATTTAACAGCAATCCTGGGCTCTCACCTTTCAGTCATCCCCAAGGAAGAAGCGGAAAAGGAGGTTATAAAGGTGGCGAGTTTGCCACATCTGGAATGCAAAGCCCAGGCGAAGCCACCCTGCAGCCTCTGCACCTCACCAGTGGCTGTGGCAGAGGTGCTGCCTGCATTGGGGTACAGCTGAGACCAAGACTTCTGCCTTGAAACCTGAGCTCCAGCCAGGAGCTCGGGGAGCAGTTTAAATAAATCAGCTCAGAGAAGAACTGATTTCCCCAGACAGAGCAGGTACCTACAAAAAGAGACAGCACAAGTGCATCGCAAGGTTACTTCAGATGG